TTCAACTACTTAAATTAGAAATGCATTTGAAATTCACTTTGAATTCCAGATAATTCTCATTTCAGTACATTATTCTGAGAATCTTAGACTTAATTCGTTTAGCATCGACATATTAGAGTAAGGGTCAAAAACACATTAGCTACATTGCACTTACGTTACTTTTGGTGAGTGACCACAGAACAGTTTTTTTTCACATGAGTACCCCTTGGCAGTCCATTTCCATAAATTGTACCCCTCACATTATCAAAATGTTTGTATATATTATAGTTGCTGTTATTCCAAATATATACGTTTTTTTCCCCCAGTCTCTCCTCCTTCTCCTCTCTGCCAAGCTCTCCCTGCTCCTGCAATGCCCCAGGCTTCCCTTGCCTTTTCTCTGCCCCAGGTTCCCCTGCTTCTCCTTCATCTGCTACAGGCTCTCCTGTTACAGGCCTCTCTGTCCCAGGCTTTCCTGCCCCCCCATGCCCCTGGCTCCCCTGCCCTTCCTTCATCTGCCCCAGGCTCCCCTGCCCCTCCTTTATCTGCCTCAGGCTACCCTTGCTTTTTTTTCTGCCCCAGGCTCCCTTGCTTCTTCTCTGCCTCAGGCTTGCCCTGCTTTTCATTTGCCTCGGGTTCCCCTGCTCCTCCTTCATCTGCCACAGGCTCCCCTCCCCCTCCTTCATCTGCCCCAGGCTATCTTTGATTTTCTTTTGCCCCAGGCTCCCCTGCTTCTTCTCTGCCCCAGACTTGCCCTGTTTTTCCTTTGCCTCAGGTTCCCCTGCTCCTTCTTCATCTGCCACAGGCTAGCCTTGTTTTTTTTCTGCCCCAGGCTCGACTGTTTCTCCTCTGCTGAAGGCTCTCTTGTCCCAGGCTCCTCTGCCCCATGTTTTCCAACCTCCCCCCCCCATGTCCATGGCTCCCTTGCCACTCCTCTGCCCTAGGTTCTCCCTGTTCCTCCTCTTCCCAGGCTCCACTGCCCCTGGCTCCTCTTCCCCTCCTTCATCTATCCTAGGCTATCCTTGCTTTTCTTCTGCCCCATGCGCCCCTGCTTCTTCTCTGCCCCAGGTTAGCTTGCTCCAGGCTCCTCTGCCAGAGGCTCTCCTTGCTTTTCTTCTGCCCCAGGCTCCTCTGCTTCTCCTCTGCCAAATGCTTTCCTACTCCAGGCTCCTCTGCCCTACTTTCTCCTGCCACTCCTATGCTCCTGGTTTCCTTGCCCCTCCTCTGTCCAAGGCTCTTCCTGCTCCTCCTCTGCCCCGGCTCCCCTACTCCTGGCTCCCTTGCCCATTCTCTGTCCAAGGCTCTCCCTGCTCCTCCTTCCTCTGTACCAGACTCTACCTGTACTTCCTATGCCCCAGACTATCCTTACCCCTTCTCTGCCCCAGGCTCCCCTGCTTCTCCTCTGTCCCAGGGTCTCTGTGCTTTTCTTCTGACCCAGGCGGACCTGCTTTTACTCTGCCCCAGACTCTCCTGCTCCATGCACCTCTTCTACCCCTACCTCTCCTGGTTCAGGCTCCCCTGTTTTCATATTACTCCAGGCTCCCCTGTTCTTCCTCTGCCCCAGGCTCCCCCTCCACCTCAGGTTTCCCTGCTACTCCTCCACCTCAGGCTCCAATGCTCCTCCTCTGCACCAGGTTTCCCTGCTTTTCTGCTGCCCAAGGCTCCCATGCTTTTCCTCTGTCCCTGGGGATGGTGAATGTGTGTGTGTGTTGGGGAATTGTGAATGGAGGGTGACATTGGGCAGGAAAGTGACAGTGTGTGGGATGATGGCAGTGTATGGGAAGGTGACAGGGTGGGTGGCAGTGCTTGTGGTTGTAGGATAGTGTGAGGGGGCAGTGTGTGATGAAGGTGACAGTATGGGGGGCAGTGTGTGGGAAGAGCAGTGGGTGGGGAGGGTGACAGTGTGACAGTGTGGTGGAGGGAGAAGTGTGACAGGTGGGAGGGGGCAGTGTGACAGTGTGGGGGCAGTGTGACAGTGTGTGAGGGCAGTGTCACAGCCTGTAACAGGGCAGTGTGACAGTGTGGTGGAAGGAGAAGTGTGACAGGTGGGAGAGTGCAGTGTGACAGAGCGTGAGGGAGGGCAGTGTGACAGTGTGGGGGGCAGTGTAACAGTGTGGGAGGCAGTGTTGTGGGATAGGGCACTGTGACAGTGTGAGAGGCAGTGTTGTGGGGATGGGGCATTTTGACAGTGTGTGAGAGGGGGCAGTGTGACAGTGTGAGAGTGGCAATATGACAGTGTGTGAGAGGGCAGTGTGAAAGTATGTAAGAGGGCGGTGTTAAAGTGTGTGAGAGGGTGCAGTGTGTCAGGTGGGAGGGGCAGGGTGACAGCGAGTGTGTGAGAGGAGACAGCGTGACAGTGTGTGAGAGAGCAGTGTGACTGTGTTTGAGAGGGGGCAGTGTGACAGTGTGGGGGCCAGTGTAACAGTGTGGGAGGCAGTGTTGTGGGGATAGGGCACTGTGACAGTGTGGGAGGCAGTGTTGTGGGGATGGGGCATTGTGACAGGTGGGAGGGGGAACTGTGACAATGTGTGAGAGGACAGTTTGACAGTGTGGAGAGGGGGCAGTGTGAAAGTATGTGTGAAAGGGGGCACTGTGACAGGTGGGAGGGGCAGGGTGACAGTGAGTGTGTGAGAGGAGACAGTGTGACAGTGTGTGAGAGGGCAGTGTGACTGTGTGAGAGGGGGCAGTGTGACAGTGGTTGTGTGAGAGGGGGCAGTGTGACAGGTGGGGGGGAAGGGCCAGTGTGTAAGAGGGGGCAGTGTGACAGTGTGTGAGAGGGGGCAGTGTGACAGTGAGTGTGTGAGAGGGCAGTGTGTGAGGCGGGGATGGGTGACAGTGTGTAAGAGGGGGCAGTGTGACAGTGACAGCCGCCAATCATAAATTACAATGTTTCTCTCTGGGAACAGAACAGGCCATCACTCATCTGCGCTGGATTGATCCTGCATAAGCTAAATCCGCCATTCCAGAAATATTTTGGTGTACCTCCAGGGAAGCTAAATTGTACCCCTGGTGGGTACCCAGGTTGGGAACCCCTGCTCTAAATCATGTACCACCAGTCATCAAGTACCACCTATCAGTCCAGGATTTAGAGATTACCCAGTCGTGACAAAAGTGTTGTTGTTTTTTTTTTCTTCTTCTAAAAACATCTTAGACACAATTTGGTAATCCCTAAATCCTAGACTGTTAGGGGTTACTTGAGGACTGTGTTGGGAACCACTGCTCTAAATGGACTCAGTGGCCTAGTACCAAGTGTCTGGGAAGTTGTTTAACTGAATTTAATTTACCTGATGTAGGCATCAGTTTAAATCAATCTACATATTTACATTTCTAAATTAATTCAGAATGTACTTTTATAAGATTTGTGCCATGGATTCTGTGTCAAAAAGTACTGCCAACATTATGAGAAAATAATCTCGCTAATAAAGTTAAAATTAATTGTAATAACTGTTTGCCCCCAGAAACATATTGACATCCACAATGATGTATTGTATAATATTAGTTTCTGAATCCGGTTACTAGATGCAGAATGGAAACTCCCGTATCTAAAAGTGCCAAACCACCCAATAAATGTAATGTGTTCACTTTCTCCTATTCATAATGCAAAGACATTCAAACAAATCAATTCTTCCTAAACAGGTGTGTTTGAACGTTGAACATGTCTTGGCACCATGTACACTAGAATGGAATCTCAAATAGGAAAAAACCCAAGAGTGTCTGGACTGTAAAATCCATTGGTGACAGAACCAAATTCACAGAAGGGATTCCAATATTTGTACTTTTTTAATACCTTGATACAACTGGCTTGTAGATGGGTCAGTTTCTTTCACTTTGCTAAAGATACATTCAGAACGTGCATAGTGAAAAACTGTAGAAATATGTGTTTATATTACTAGTTAACACGCTTTCATGGCTTACAAGGTCACAACTTTGAAGTAGATATGAAACAAAATTGAAGAGGAAGATATTTACATCTATGTTCTACTACAAGAGATACGTTATTAGGAATAGAAAGATGTATTCCTAATACTAAGAGGTCAACCTGCCCTCCCCCCCCTCACCCTTCCTCTGTTGGCAAGTAAAGGGTTAACAAAAATTTTCACTTAACCGATTTCAGCACCCAAGTCTCTTGACTCTGGGTTGAGCTCCTCCACCGCCGACGTCAGCCCATGGGGGGACCAAATGTGCATGCGCGATGAGTGCTGCATATATTAGGTCTTCCCCATAGGAGAGCATTGACTTTCGATATTGTCATGTAAACATGTTTTTTTAATTTTGATAATACATATGAGAAGACATTGTCTTCATTCAGTAGGACTCCACGATAAGCACACCTGTGGATGATTTATCACTAGTTGTATTTTGAATTTATTTTATTTTTGCGGTAATCATGCACTTGATGACTCAGACAGGTTTGTGTCAATGTGCGTCTACAGCCCTCTTTAAATGAACACCAATACTATTTCAATGCATTTGACAGGTTTTTGCATCTTTAATGTGCTTTTTTTTTTTTTTTTTTGCTTTACTTTTTTACACGCTCAAATATTTATAATTTTTGCATAAAATAAATAAATGCCTTGCACAATGCTGCATCATAAGCCTGCTTCTTTAGCCACACCCCCTCACTCCAGAAAAAGACTTCCTTATCAAAAGGTATGTACACAGCTCAGCCTCTGAGAATTCAGAGAGGTATAATTAAGAATATCACTGCCTGTTTGCAGTTTATTTGACTGTCTGCAGCCAGCTTGTGAATTTAAAGCTGCTCACTTAGTGCTGCTGTGGCTGAAATCTATCTGGCATGAGGAACGTGGCTAAGGAGGCAGACTAATCGTGCAATATTCTGCAAAACATTTACCTATTTTATGCAAATCTATAAAGATTCCAGCATGCAAAAATACAGTAAATTAATGAGGCCAAGATCTAGCAAATGAAAAGTCAAAAACGGATCAGCGCTAAAACGCCACAAAGAAATAAGGAGAGGGGTCCCCTCTAGTGCCTCCCAACATAAACGTAATATGGAAAAAATAATTCTAATAAGGTAGCGCCTGTGAGGGTAAAATATATAGAATAAATTGACTATTTTAAGTTATTTTATATATCTATTTAATTTATTTCATATATTTATTCTATATATCTTACCCTCACAGGCGCCACCTTATTAGAATTATTTTTTCAAAGATCAAATGCATAGAAGTTATATTGGAGCTCGGAGTGTCCCTTTAATTCTTTAAACCTCCTCATCTGCTATTCAGCAGGGCTGCATGTACCTTTATTTTATTTACATAGTCCAATGATGACCAGATTAGGAACACATGGAGGTTTAATTGTTTAAAATTAGTTTTGATTTGCAGGGGCTAATTGTGTTATAATTGTATCACATTTTAACAGCAACCCTTTCCCCACTGTTTTATGTTATCGTTTATTGATACAGTGCAAACAAATGCCACAATTGCAGCAGAAGACAATCATGAAAAATTGAGGACCTTTGCACAATACTAATTACACTATAAATTGATGTATGTCCCAGTGCTTCTTAACCTCTTCGGGACCAATGGCATGCTGGGATTGTGATGCTAACATGCAATTTGCCCAACCTTTGTGTATCATTCGATATTCATTCTTCGTTATTTATTTTGCTGCAGATGCAATATACACAACACACAGGGCTAAACATTCAACAGATTTACTTACCTCTTACCTACTTGGGCCTTTAAATAATAAACCCATTATGTAGAGGAATGCTGTTTAATTTCACCAAAGTAAACCATAGAAAATAGTACAATGAAGACAAAGCTTATTATTATTCCCTACATCTGGGGCACAAATTATAGTATTTTGCAAGCAGTAAATTACAGTGTAATGGCTTCGTTTGGACATCTGGAAATTACCTGAGTTTGTTTTGATCACAGTTATTTCTAGAGAATTGTAATAACGACAATCCAAGCTTCCATTGAAAGGGATGCATTGTTACCTGTGTCAGTTTTCAACATCTTCAAAGCTCCCAGGCACGCTGTCATAAGAATGGGAACGTAATGTGCAACCAATGCTCTGCAGACGAAAACAGTTACGTTTGAAATGAATGGATAGATGAAGCTTGTGGTTTGATATTTTGTGCATTTAAATGTCTGGTGTCTGAACACATGATACTTACTTAAAGGACCACTATAGTGCCAGGAAAACATACTCGTTTTTCTGGCACTATAGTGCCCTGAGGGTGCCCCGACCCTCAGGGACTCCCTCCCCCCCCGCCGGGCTGGATGGAGAGGAAGGGGTTAAACTTACCTCTTTCTCCAGTGCCGGACGGGAGCTCTCCTCCTCCTCTCCTCCCTCTTCTGCTCCTCTTCGGCTGAATGCGCATGTGCGGCAGGATCCGCGCGCGCATTTAGCCAGTCCATAGGAAAGCATTCACAATGCTTTCTTATGGACGCTGGCGTCTTCTCACTGTGATTTTCACAGTGAGAAGCACGCAATCGCCTCTAGCGGCTGTCAATGAGACAGCCACTAGAGGCTGGAATAACCCATTTATAAACATAGCAGTTTCTCTGATGGATGGACGGATGGACGGACGGACAGATGGACGGATGGACGGACAGACGTTCTTTCTTTCTGCTTGAAACAAGTATATAGAAGTATTGTTTTAGTTATTAAATGGCACCATATTTCACAGAGCTAAAGTACCTTATCTAATACCGACTCCATAATAGCATTATGTTATGTCTTATAACAAAATGTCATTTTTCACTTGGTTTGTTCTTGTGTGTAAATACAAAACAATTAAGAATTAATCATTAACTATTGGGTCAATTAAAAAAATGCATAGAAATATTAAAAAAAAAAATGTTTTTAATTGTATTTTTTTTTTTTACAATTTGGTAACAAAGACAGGAAAATGCTTCCAGAACCAGTCCCTAATGATAATAAAATACATAGCCCAAGGCAATTTACTGAAATATATATAGGGAGATGAATTATTGAAAGTGCATTAATAATTCAAATGAATTGAGAAGCGATATATAGATGTAAAATCATATATATTAAAACACTACAAATCAATGACATAGTTATGTAGCATTTACGCCTTAAGTAATACATGTATAGCTGTATGCAAACATTTAGACACACCTGATCAATTCTAAGTGAAAAGAATATAATATATGAACTCTACAAACTTAAGCTCAACATTTCTGCATATATTAATGCTTAATTATTATTTATATGCTGAATTTTACTGATAGAAATAGATAAATCAGTAAATGTGGCATTTTCTAAAGTTTGGGCACCCTTTGACACCAGGGAAAGGTTATAAAAGGATATCTAAATGCTTCCTGCCCGTAGTTTCCATTTTTCAAAATATCATTAAGAAATTAAAGTATACTTTTTATTGGTTTTACGCCCTCTCTAATTTTCCCAATAAATTTGTTTGCAACTTCTATAAATCTGAAATCAAGATTTCTGAGGTGAAGCAGAACCTGGGAGCAGTAATCCGGAGGTTTACTGAAGAGCCTTAAAAGTCTGAGCCTGCTATCAATAGGCTCAGCAACATGTGAGTTTAACCAGTTCAATTAGTATATAAATATACTGCACTATGATCTGTATTTTATGCTCTATTACAGACAACTAGTGGTCTACATACACTACCCACGATTCTACAGTGGTAGTATTTTAATCTCGTCAAGTGTTAGCGCTCACCTGTCTATATAATTTTTTTGTTGTAAAGATAGAGACACAATCAGTAATAGCCAAATTCAGGAGAATATAAATACGGATATATGAATAAACAAGAAGCTGGGTCAGAATTTCAGAACTACTAAAGTCAAATAAAAGCCAAGGCCAATATAAAAATATCAAGAGAGGCTTATTTTAATCACTTAACATGCATGGGACACTGTAGTCACTATAAGCATTTCATCTCTTTGAATTGGTTATAGTGCCTGGAGTGCCCTGGCACTGTCCCTCCATTCAGTGTTGCACCATGTTCGTGCAGTATGCAACAAAATAAGAGTCCCTGGCCACCCACAGTCCGGCCCCTTCAGTATGTGTAGCTAAGGCAGAGATTACACACTTCCTTGTTGTCATACCCATTCATACCGTCAGTTGGAAGTCTGACAGGCTAAAAGCAGTCAGCTGACACTCTCAGCCAATCACAGCTGCCCATTGCTGCTCAGGCTAATTCTTCCTTATTAGCCAAAGCAGCACAGAGGGGATGGATTGCCTGGGACTCTTGTTTAACATTAAAGCATTAAAACTTTAAAAACTGTTTAATGCTGAAAGAAATGACGGTACCAGAGGACTCCAGACACTATAACCAGTTTAATTAGATGAAGCAGATACAGTGCCTACGGTGTCCCTTTAAAGATCGGATGGGACGTCACGTGTATTCAAACTATATAAGGCCGTGCCAATAAAACGGACAGCGTCCACATTTATACAAGGATTATGTAAGCAGTGGTTGTCTGGTGAATTCAGCCCGTGCGAACCTAGGAGAGGGGAGTGGCTCGACATTCAGCAGATAAGTACAGTTGTATATTTTAGTCCAAAAATAAACAAATTTAATACAGTTGCTCAAGAGAAATTCTCCAATTGGGCTATTTTGTTCTATTTTTTGTCAATGGGTTTTCAATGCACTACTATTCATAATTTATTGAAAACATTATATTGGGTTGTTTTATTTATGCTGACAGAGATAGTTTTTAATATATATAATTAAGAATGTGTTGGCAAAAATACATGTATGTTTAGATCCTTTTACTTGGAGAATTCTTTCCTACAGTGTGCAGTGATGGTCACATGTTTTACATTTGTAAAGAAAAAAATAAGCCCGTACAAAGTGCTCATTGTTGCACGACAGAAGCAATTTTATCTTGGCTTCGTAGTATAGTTAAAACCGCTTATAATCACCCTTATTAGAGTAATAACACAAGTTTTATACAGAAATACATAGCACGCTGTGTCCCCATGGGTGTCCACTTTACTTAATAAGAAGGAGAAAATGCCTTTGCTTTCGTTGACTGCTTGTATTGCTGGAAACGGCTCATTTCTTTGTAATATGCTAGCTGAAAAAATAGATAATGCCTTTTAGATGATAAGTAATCTGGTAATCATTGAAATTAACCTGCAAACGTAGTGATTTTAACAGTAGAATTGTTTTTTATTAGCTGTATTTTTGTGGTTTTGTCTTTTGATTTTTCACCGTTATCTTTTTTTACTTTATATGAGACTGTCTAAGTCTGTATTACACTCTATATCTGAACCTCAAGAAGGAAAGTAAAATATTTGTTGAAAAATAACTTGAATTCAGAATTTCTTTTATTAGCGCACAGTGTATTATTTAGGATTTATAAATTAGTTTTTTTAAACACCTTAAGGACCAATAATGGAATTATTCAATGGTGGATAACCTTCCCTTAAGGGCTCCACTCTGTCAGTGACCCCACACTGACCAATGATCTGTGTGAGCCAATTGAATAGGCCCATTGATTCTCCCCCAGCCCCTCTGTGTGTCTCTTTCTCACGAAAGCCCTTTCTGTGTATCTTTCTCCCAAAGCCTATCTGTGTGTCTCTTTCTTCCCAAAGCTCCTTTTGTGTCTTTTTCTACCCAAAGACCCTTTGTGTGTCTCTCCCCCAGCACTCTTCTCTTTTCCCCTGACATAGTGTGTGTCTTTTTTCCCCTTCTCAGCCACTTTGTGTCTCTTCCCCTCCATCCCCTCTGTGTGTCTCCTTCTTCCCTTCCCCAGCTCCTCTGTGTCTCTCCCCCAACACCTACTCTCTTTCCCCTTCTTAGTTTATCTGTGTGTCTCTCACTGAGCTCTCTGTGTGTCTCTTTCCTCATCCCAGCATCTCTGTGTGTATTTTTCCTATCTCAGACCCTTTCCATGACTCTTTGCCCCCCCCCCCATCCATTCCTTATGTGGTCTCTTCACTTTCTCCCCACCTGGTGTGCTTGCTTACATCCATGTAATATGGCCACGTGTACCATGGTAGAGGATTTTCTGTATCCTGTAGCATGTCTGAAAGGAAGCTGTTCACTCCCCCTTTGCTGATCACCCTGATACTGCACACAACTGGCCGGTGCACCCTAAGGTGGTTCAATCAGTCCCTCCCCACCCCACCCCCTCTGGAGTAGGTGTAGAAAGCATAAAAATTAGATGCAGGTAAATATGGGGGG